AAACCGATGCCCTGCATTGATTATCATACACTCGAGATGCATGGAATTAGAGAAGATGTAATCTAGTACATCGATGCACTTAAGCTGAGATCCTACATAGAGCTGAACCTTCCAACTTATGCCAAGTTAGTCCGCAAGCTCTTAGCAGCTGTCACCCTCCACCACACGAAGAGGAGGAACCCCAGAGCATCTGACGGCATTTTGTCGTTTTCTATCCGCGGACAGACCTGCTCACTCACCATTTCTACACTTTGTGAAGCTCTTAAGCTTCCATACACCAATGACATTTACCTCGAAGAAGAACCTGTTTTTGATTTATGGAGAGAGATGGGTCATGGCGTTTATGATAGCAGGAGATCCAAGTCAACCCTTCTTACTCATCCTGCAGTGAGAGTTGTGCACAAACTCTTAGCACACACGATTTTCTCTAGAGCCAACATGGGATGTGTTTTGAAGACCGAGCTCATTACACTTCAGATGCCATTTATGGACGACCCACGACTTGCCTGCTTTGCCTGGATCATAGCACAGAACATGGTAAAGGTGAAGCACGATTTACATAGTTGTGAGGACGCTACTCCAGCTTATGGGAGCGCTATTACAGCGATACGACAGGCTGTAGGATTAGACTTCTCATCTGATGATCCACTTCCCGACGTCTGGTATGACCTACTCTATCTCTCTCGCGATCACACTATCTCTCGTGCTACTTTCGCGATGGACTTCAGAACCTGATGAGTTTTTACCATCTGTGCCTCGTCTACCATTCACCATCGGGCAATACATAGTGGCCAAGGCAAAGCGCGATGCAGCTGCAGCACGTGCTCACTTTCAGCCATCTGTTTGGACCGGCCACACTTCATCATCAACATCGTCACACACGCATTCTGATCTGGAGCGCAGAGTTGAAGACAAGGACAACGCTTTGAGCGCGTTGTCACCTTCCTACAGGAGCAGCACCATTTCGAAGCAGACACATCGGATGATGAGTGATTGATCAGCACTTCATTGTCATTTGACAGCCATCACAGTTCTATCATCATTTTCTTTTCTTTTATCTTATTTTATTTTCGCTTTTATTCACCATCTTCTCACCAACTTTTTCACACTGGGGACAGTGTGATTTAAGTCTGGGGGAGGATGTCTATCCGTACTAATCATTTTCTTGCTTTGCTTTCAAAATTTCAAGTACTTTTTAAATTTTAATATGTAACCTATTCGACCTTAAGTATTTTTCAGGTATGTTTGACACAAAACTATGATGATTTAGACCTGCACACTTCTACACTATGCATGATAGCTCATTTGTGGTTAGCACTAGACCAGGCAGTAGCTAGAGTACTTGCACTACGAACTCCCACCAGAGGACTTCTATTCATGGAGATTCTTTCTGAAAGGATATACTAGCTCATTTTATTTGATCTTAATACTGATATCTAATTTTCTCATCATTGATTTTAGGCAGGCATCGAGATATACATCTAGGACGTCTTTTACTCTCATTTTTACCACTCTTTGTCGTCATAGATGGCCAGTTCATCTTTATCTGGTACCATACCCTAAACCCAAAACCCTTGTTTTCAATCCTCATGCATTTTCTCTTTAGTTTATATCAGCAGATATGTGCAAAAACGTCGGAGAGAAGAGGAGTGACGCAGTTTTCAATCACTAACAAGGAAGGCTGAATGGAATTGGGAAGGAAGAGTATCAGAAACCTTATTAAGCTTTACAAGACTGATTTTTATTGGTAAATTCGTGCTCTTTATGACTCTATATCTAAAGGTGTTCTCTCTTTCAAAATTTAAAGAAAAAAAAATGAATGAAAGAGAGGGAAACAAAAAGCCTAATGAGTCTTAGATTGTCGAAATTTTTGGAGCAAAAAGCAACCAGTATTCGTTTGAAGAACTATGGTATTGAAATATTTACAAAAATCTAAGTCTGAGGAGTTAGGAGAGAACCTGAGGAAGAAGACCAGAAATCTATGGCAAGAAGAAAGTGACTGAAAACTGAGGCGGTTTTGCATAATATCTTGCATCCTCCAGATCTTCAGGTAACCCATAAACACTTTAACCCTTACCCCTAGAATAACCCTTTTGACACCTAGCCTAGATTGCCTTGCTTATACTTTCTTTGATGAGAACCACCGAAATTGTTAAGAGCTAGTTGACTGGAAGTTAGATCTTAGTGCAATAGATTTCCGCATGACAGATTAACGGACTAGTTATGCCCGTACTTCTAGTGAGAATTTTCTAGGCTATTTCCGATTGATGCATAGTGATTGATATTGGTCTAGAAGCTTGGTCTCTGAGATTTTGTTTAGTTCCTGCGTTTTCAAACCTCTCACCGAGATTTGGTCTTTGTTTTGTTTAAGGAAAAACAAAAGACTAAGTCTGGGGGAGTTGATAGCACCGGATTTTGACCATTTTTATGGATCACTTTAATGACTTTTACAGGTGTTTTTACTCCATTTTCAAAGGTTTTCAAAAGATTTCTATGTTTTCGGATTTTAAAAGACTTTTCAGGTAATTTGGAATAAAGAGGCACAAATTAGAACAAAAAGACTTTTTTGGATAAATGCAGACCGTCAGAACTCTCATGGAGAGACGAAGACCTTCTCACCGTCTGATCACCCTCACAATTGGAGAACTTATAGAAGAATCAACCAGCTTTCAAATGCATTTGGTTTGGAGACATTCCAACGGTTGGATCTCAAGATATTCCATTTGCCCCGGAGACACTCGAAGACGGCCAGCAAGTCACATGACCGCGGCCACCAGCCTATTTCCCGCGGTCACAAGCTTCATGACCGCGGCCAAGCCTCTATTTCCCGTGGTCACGTTACTCCCGACCGCGGCCGGCCAACTCCGATTAAAAGTCCATATTTCTGAAGCCCAAATTCATTTCTATGCCTCAATTCCGTAACCCTAGAGACCATGGAGTATTGAAGACTATAAATACTTGTCAATTAGGTCGTTTTTAGAGATAACCTTCATACTTTTACAAAGACCCTTTTCCTTTAGCCGTTTTATGCGATTTTTAGAGAAATTTGTTCAACTCTGAGCTCTTCAATAGAGAAGCTTTCTTTCATCCCTTTTCTTTACTGTTTTTGATTACTTTTATTAAAACCAATGATGATGTCGACCTCAGCCATGTCTGAGTAGATCCCGAGTTGGGCTTAGGGTTCCAGAAAGAGGCTCTCATAATCGATTAAGACATCTAGGTTTATAGATCTGAGATTTTAACTTTGTTCTCTGTTTATTCTCGTTCTTATTGCATGTATGCTTGATTGATCACCTCGTATCTGATCTAGATAGTTAGTGTTGCGAAAGTTTTCATTAAGTATCCGACCTAGAATGAAACAGGCGATTTTTCCGTAGGAGTGGAAACCTACCTGCGGCGAAATCGTGTGTACTGACGAGTCCTGTGCAGCTCTTGCGTTTTCTCCCTTCCAGGGCCAGAGTGGAAACCTACTGGTCAGGGTTGCGAGAAACAGTTGGTTATGATCACGACAGTGACGTAGTCATACCGCCGTACTCTAGCTCTAGAACCCTATATTTCGAGATCCGTCAATCCCAATCTATAATTCCTGGTGTTAAAACCGATTATGATCCTTGTAGAGTAAAAGCTCAGCGTTTTTAGCCATAGTTTACAAACCAATCGATTTTTACTTGCTCATTTAGATCTGCATTTTATTTGCTTTAGTTCGATATTCTGCTTGCTTCATTTGCCTTTCATTCAATTTTCTACTTGCTCTTTAGGATAGATTTATTTGCTTTCTTTAGTTTTAGTTTAATCCGTGACAAACAACCAACCCCTAAAACCAATCTAGTCTAGACATAAAGTTAGAAACCGTAGAAGAATACCAGGCACACAAATCTCTGTGGATTCGGTCCCTAAATACTACAACCGATTAGCTGTGTACTTGCGGCTTTCATTTGTTTTTATTAAGGGTAAAACTTGTTCCCTCACGCAGTTGACACACATAAGGAATGGATGCTTGGCCGCGGTCGGGTAGCCTCTGACCATGGTGAAATGGCTGTTGGTCGCGGGTGGAAATGCTTACCGGCTGATTTACGGGACATCTTGATCTTTACGTAACTTTTGATTGAACCGTTGGATTCTCAAGCTGTAAAGTGTGCTGGAAAGTTGATATAGTTCCATCGTTGAGATCTACAAATTTGAGCTGGATCAGATGGTGAGAAGACCTTCAATCGGGGGTTAACTTCTGACGGTTTGACTCTGAGCTGAAAATTTGGTCTTCTATCTATTTTGTTAAGCTTTTCCTTAAATTTCCTGAAAAGAGTCTTGAGACTACAAATACTAGGAAAATATAATATAAGTACTTGAAAGAAATAAAAAATATAAAAAAAGTATTTCAAAACGATCCATAAAAATAGTCAAAATACGGTGTTATCACAATTCAAACTATCCATATTGATATTCTTAAAACAACGTGGCTTTACTAATTTTCTAATAATCCATAAGGAGATTTTTCCAGACCCATCCTCATTGCAGCAAATAACAATAATTAATCTTTTTTTGTCTTGTTTTTTCCTTTAAGTTATGTAGCAAAAGAATGATCAGCTTGTAATTTATATAAATAAAGTAGTTTCATCCATATTAAAAACATTTTTCATATGGAATTTTTTTTCCTTATAGCTTCCAATTTTTTCTTTTCGACTTGTACATCAACGTGTCCACTCTCTCCAAAACAATGAAATGACTTGATACTACGTCGAGACTACAAATAAAGTCTAAAATCTAGTGTTATTGGATATAGAATTTGTAAATGTCTCTTAAAATCCATTGTTATTAGAAACGTTTTTAAGTACTGAGATTTAAATGATTTTAAGAGATTTAGAAAAATTTCTTAGTTAAAAATACAAAGACTCAAATCCCATGGTTTTATGTGAAATTTCAGAGAATTTTAACCAAATCATGACAACTTCCTTAAAGTCTTATTAAAACTTAAATCATTTCCAATGTTTAGTCCAATACATTCTATTTTTCAATTGCTCATTTCATCCAAACCACATGCTTTTTCAGCCAACAAAAGAAAGAGAACAACAAAAACACTCACTCGGAAAAGGTAAAAAGAATATGAATCAATTCATGGATTAACCTTTGTATTTCTACGTTTCTCATTGTTCTCAAAAGCCAAAATGATTTTGATTCTTTTTACCTATTCCGACTAAAAAACTTGACCAAGGTCGGAACTTTCTTCTTCTTCTTGATTACAAAGCAAGTCGGAGTCCCCACGGATGAGTATCTTCTTGGCTTCCCTCGTTGTACCGGTTTGAATTCCGGGCTTAACCGCACAGATTTTCCAACCGGTTTAGGAGATAGATAGCTTTCTCCTTCAGGCTTCCCCTTAAACTTCTGAATCTCACCCTCGACCAGTTGCTTCGTCGACAACGACCTTTGCGTCCTAAAAGCTTCCCTCTCTTCTTCCACTCTCGTCACTCCACTCTCTCTCATCAAAGTTTCATTCTTCATCAAAATCGCTTTTGTGCTAACTTTGAGTGCTTTAATCCAAGCTTCTGCTGCTTCAACTTTCTTCTCTGCGGTTTCTTCTGCTTGAGAAGCATGTCTACTCAAATACTCGTACTCAAACCTCGAGATTGTGATCGTTGAACAATGCTTAGACTCTGTTTCCCGTCTCTCCATTGTGTCTTCTATGAGAGCTTCAAGCTTATCAAGCACTAAAGCCTCTGCTTGCTTCACTTTCTCGAGCTCATCCAACTTTGAAATCAGTTCTCGTTCCTTTTCGTCTATTTCGAGTCTTGTTTTCTCTGTTTCCGCCTTTGTAACCGTCTTCTCTTCTTCAAGAAGACGCTCCTCTTTCTTTGCAGCTTCTTTGTTCTTCTTTAACTTCTCAAATGAACCAGCTAAACTGTCAGCGAGAGAGCTAACTCTTTCTTTAGACGATAATGCTAGTTCCAATCTCGATTTCACCATAATCATCTTCGAATTGAGTTTCTGAATCATAGCATCATCTTCACGTAAGACTTTGTTGAGGCGAGCTGTTTCTTCTTTGGCTTTGAGATTCTCTTTCCTCAACGCATCCATTATAGTCATGAGCCGGAAGAGTTCTGCGTTAACAGAAGCAAGCTCCTCCTTCTTCGCTTCTGTGACCTCTTTCAAAACCGATTTTCCTCTTCCAAAAGAACGGTTTGATCTCGACATGCTATTGTCTCTCCTCTCCATTTTCTTGACAAGATTTAGCTGTGTTTGTAACATCTCAACATCAGAAGTCGTCTCAAACAACTCGTTCTCAATATCCTTCGATCTCTCTGCCTCTTCCAACATTTCCTTGATTCTCTTATCTTTTTCAACCAACAAATACAAAACCTCTTTCCTTTTTCCTTCTCTCTGCCTCTCTATCTCTTTGTATTCCTTCAATGCCTCCGTCTTTCCCAATTCAACCAAAAAAAAATCTTCTTTAGCCACTTCGATCTCCTTCTTAAGTCTCTCCAACAATCTCAAATTCCTTTCTGTTTTAGTCTGCAATTCCTCAACTTCTTTCTCTGCTGCAGTTCTCTCTACCAATACAGAGTCAAAATCAACCTTCAGCCTACACAACTCTTCTTTGACAGCCTCCAAATCTCTCATAACTTCTGCATGCATTCCATTTTCCTCGATGTTTGTATCTATCTTTAAAGCTTCCGTATCTCATTTGAGAAACTCTGCACCACGATTCGACTTCTCTATAAGTAATGTGAGCTCCTTTATCAGCTTCTTTGCCTTGGACAGTTCCACTTGAGCAATACCTCTTGTATACGCTGAATCTCTTCTACTCTCTTTGTACCCATCAAGTTTCTTTCTTGACTTGTGCAGATCTTCCACAAGTGAAGAAGACTGCTTCAAAAACAGAGCAAATAAATAATAATCATCAAAAATTTAGCTTTAAGCTAAGCTCATAATTTATACAAGGAGAATCAATCCTAAGTACAACAAAGTCCAATCTAAGGAATTTGGTTTTCACCTTAACGATTGGTAAATCCAACTGAGAAGAGTTTCTTTCTGCTTTCACTGATTCTCTTTTTGTTCTGACGTCTGAATTTGCCATAGCTCGTTAGCCTCGTTTTCTCTTGATATTCCACTGAAAATGAAAATGGCAATAAAAATTCAACCTTTTCATCGCCCAAACAATAACAGACACTTATAAATTATAAACCTTTCAAACAAAACTCGAAATTTCTGGGCACCCAAAATTTAAATAGGGATAAAGCTTTACAAATGCACACCTAAAGAAAAAAAAAAAAAAACTCCCACAAAATTCCAATTCAAGTCACATGAATTCCAACAATGTAAACTGGTAATAAAGATTCAATCTTTTCATCACCCAAAACTATTATACTCACAAACAAGTCAAGAGAATTTCAACACAAAACTGGAAAGAGGATGAAAACGTACCGGTGAGGAATATTATAGATGAGGAGAGAACTTGCAAATGAATAACCAGAGAGAAAGAAACGATTGGCAGAGATGAAGTTTGTGCTTGATTAGTTATCATTTTTGATGTTCGAAGGAGAAATTTATGACGATTTGTTTCTTCTGGGAGGACACCAGACACCAAATCTGAGGACGAGGAAAGAACAAGTAGCAAACTAGCAAATATGAAAGGGAAGCAGAGAACTTGCGCGTTAAACATGTTTTATATTTTTTAATCTCTGATTCTGTCTGGGTGGTGTAGTCGGTTATCACGCTAGTCTCACACACTAGAGGTCCCCGGTTCGAACCCGGGCTCAGACATTTCATAGTGAACGCAGTCCAATGGCTCTTTTTTTTTCACAACAAAATATATTTTAGTTGGGTGTAATTTCTCTACTTTATTAAATATACAGGTATAATTCTCTTAAATATGATATTTAATTAGTTAATTGGTGTAATTTCTTTAATTTTAAATAAGTGATCAATTATTAAAAAAAATATATGTTATTTAGATAAAAAAAAGAGTGTGTTATTCGATTAAAAATATATTGTTTAAAGAAATTGATACCTACCCGACTAACCTCGTCAATGTACTAATTGTATATGCCATCTGTTGAGAAATAGCTTGGCAGATTAATAGTGGTGAGGGTTAAGCGTGAATCAGATCTAAGAGCAAGGAGCCAAGGATTATCTATCTTTCATAATCACAAGTATATGCAACTTTACCAGTGGATGGAAGTTGCCGACTCTTAAGACTGACCATCTACAAAACCTACTATAAGTGATAAGTCAATAATTATAGTCTTTTGTGTTTTTCAGAACGTACGGCTTTGTTTAGCAGTAATGGGAAGGAGTAATTTCAAGTCCCGACCAATCCTGCTATATGCTCAGGACCCTTTCCTTGAAGAGTTAATAAGGTACATGTCCGTTTCGAAATAAACATTGGTTGTCCGTTAACCTGCCGTGGTTTATATTTCCAATGATCACATTGCAAAGATCGGTTGCAAACAATTCACTGCCAAACTGTTACAACATTTCCAGATCATATCTATATTATCATACAGTCGTCCACACTCAGGGCTTGACTGGTTTAACTGCAGCGGTTGCGGTTGCGAGTGCGGAAGTTTGCGGAAACAGATTATTATGGTTTTGAGCGTTATTCAGCGGCTTGCACGACTGGTTAAACTTTTTAAAGTGGGTCTGTTTGCGGGATATTGACTGGCAAACCAGCGGTTGTTTTAGCGGTTAAATATAAAATTACCAAAATAAACATCATATATAATTATAAAAAAAAACAAAAAACTATATTATTATGATAAATATCAAAATCACTATTTCAAAATAATTAATAAAAATTATATTAAATACTAAATAATTCTTTTAAAAACTAATAAATTTTACAATAATATATTTTATTTCAATTATTGGGAACATCACCCAAAATTGTGTCTAATAATGTAATAGACTGGAAAAAGTTTATTTCAATACGTGGATCTTCTGGATTATCTTATGCATGATGTAAAATTTCTTCAATTGATCTAATCGGTTTTTTGCATGACCCCAACTCAAATCAACTCCAAATTGCTCATTAGTATTCAAAATACGTTATTTCTGGAGTGTATTCAAAAATCTAGAATATTTATCTTGAGTTTATTTTTCCACAATGATTCGTTGAAATAACGCACATGTCATCTCGTTTGATCATGTAACTTTCTGAAGAACAAAAAAAAAGAATTATAACAAACTAATTTTGTAATTAATAAGATACATATTTATAATTTCTTACTTTAAAAGTGGAAACAAAAAAATTATTATAAATGAATTAAATCAAAGTATTATGGCACTTACTTGTATCTTAATTTTTTCAACTGATATGAAAGTCATGATTAGAGACTAGAACTTGATAGAAAAAGTGAGAGGTTTAAGGTTTATATATATAGGAGAAGATTAGTAGGGTTAGGGTTTTATAATTGTTTTTAACGTGATCTTCTTTTTTTTTCTAGAGTGATTTTATTTTTATTTTTTAATTTTTTTTACTCAACCGCTACCGCCCGCAACCGCAAACGCTGGCGGGAAGCAGCTTTTGGATTTCAGCAGTATAAAACGATACGGAGCGGTTTGCAGCGATTTCTATGATTGTGATACAACGCCACTAACCGCTACCAACCGCAAATGCTGCGTTTGCGGGTGATAGCGGGTGAACCAATCAACACCTCAATCACTCAATTATTGAGGAAACTAGCGTTTTAAAGTGATTAGGTTTTGCTCCGCTGCTTTTCGACCACTCCTATAATTGCCTAATAGAATACGATGAATTTGCAATAGCTTTCAGTTTGTTGTAAGTCTGTTTAAAGGCAATTTTGCAACAGGACTAGCTAATTGTGTTTCCAATGCAAAATTTTGATACAAATTAACTCATTTTTATAGTGTTTTTTTCTAAATCGTAATTCATTACAGATAAGTTTAGGTGTTATATATTGTGTTAACAAAATATTGTTCGACCTAACAGATTGGTCCATGGCAAAAAATGAAAAAAAATATAAAAGCAAGTTCAATTGGTACTAATGTGACACCAGAGCATTGAAGCACTAAGGTATCAAACAATAACGATAAAGGGCCTGGAGACCCGAGGAAAAGTGAAACCAAGATATGATCGAAAAGAGAATAGTAAGAAGAAGGACTGAAGAAACATCCACTAAGATCGGAAGTTGTATCATCCGGCAGCCCGAAAGAGAAATATTCTTCTAAAAAGTCAGAGGAGGCCCGAACAAAGACTGTCCTCAACGTTTAATAATCAACGCTCAACTAACAAATCTAGATTTAGCTGTAAAATTGGAGTACACTAACTAGCAAATTCTAGAAACACTACTGGCTCTACCAATATCCTCCCTATCTCAGCTAGCACAGAGCCAAGCGACACAAAGCATCCTCAAGCAAACTACACAAGCAGAAAACTTACTCCATCCGAGAAAACAAGCAAACAAACACATCAATGATGAGGCAAGGAGCCATTGCAGGCATAAAACTTGATGATAACTGAGCAAATGCCACACCAAAACAGAGCTCCCAACATCAGGACAGGGCAAGTCTCACCCACTACCACCAGAGGCACAAACAGAATGAGCCAACACCTTGAGAGCCATCACTGATGTGAAACAACCTAGAGACCATCACTGATGTGAAACAACCTAGAGACCATGCAGGAGACCATGCAGGAGGACGCACAAACTTTGATATGCCCAGGATGGAGAACCACCATGGGATCTTGAAGATTAATGTGTTTCCTTCTATTTTAGACCAGAATATCCCTATACTATCGACTCCATATACAAAAATAATACCTTGTTCTAAATTTGGGCATTTAAAATGAATAAAATGAAAGAATCCTAACCTTAAATATCAATAACAAGAAAAGCTCTGTGAGATGGCAAGAAAAACAAGATTACTTTGGTAAAAGAGAGAGTAGTATTTTGTGATTTTCATGTGGAATGATATTTCTATAACTTCCATCATTTATGTTGCAATTTAGAGTCCAGATCATGCGTTTTCTCATTCATTTTAGGTCTTTAGGCATCAAATTAAGCTTTAGGTCTGCATTAGGTCCCAAAGAGTTTTGCATGTTTTGGAGTCTTTATCAGGTGCTTTGGAGGCTATTTGGAGTTCAAGAGGTGTGATCAGGAGTTGAAATGGTGAAGAAAAGGGTTAAAAATGATGAAAACCGCTTAAAGGAATTTCTCGGCAAAAGCATGTATCGGCTGGATCAGTTTATCGGCTAAAAATGCCATTGGGTGGTTTTTATCGGCTAAAAATCAGTACCGGGTGAAAATTCTATCGGGTGAAGTTTTATGCCGAGACGGAGAACTTTTATCGGCTAAAAAGCTTACCCCGGTACGTGTTTCTTGGATATTTTCCTTACCGTGGGAATCATTTCTCGGCTAAAATCCATTTTCACCTGCGCGTGTAAAAGATTACAAATCCAAAGCATCTTCTGGTCTGAATCAATTAACGAGGTCTTCATCAACGTTGGAGATAATCAAGTCAAGATCCAAGAACAATTGGAATCACTGAATTCGGAGCAGTGAGTAGAGAGATATCGCCACCGGGAGACACACCTGTCTCGCATGCATTCAAGAGTCGATCCGATGAGTTTCAAAGAATACGTGGGAAGATGCCTTCCCAAATCGAATCAGTTTACAGAGCCTTCATAAATATTTGAGATCTTTGAGTGCTATTTCCATAACACCTGAGGTCACTCAATTTGGAGCTGTGGTCTGAAAGATATCGTCTCCGGAATAGACATCGGTGTAAAAGCTGTTTTTCTGCCGTTTCGAAGCGATGCAAAGATGAGCAATCCGGGGAGCCTTCCACTTCCCAAGCTCTGATGGTTTCTTCACCAAAGGTTGAACTGAATGAGTGATATTAATCTTGGATTTGGTTTCAAGTCATTTGGAGTTGTGTGCTAAAAGTTATTGCAACCGGGAGACAAGCAGATCGGTACAAGCCTAAAGAGTTAAGATACGCGCTAAGTGTTTCTGCGAGCCTCGGCATCATTACCTCAACATTGCTTAAGTTGAGGCTCGTCCCCAGAACCTCTTTGGACCAGACCTCGTGCTAACACCTCGGTATATCAAGGCCGAGGCATGCGTGCTGAAGAAGCGAAGCTGAAAACAACTAAGTGTCGGATCTAAACCCTGGCTTCAAGACCCCGGCATTGCATGTCGGACTTCATCTGCCTTGATCCCTCGACTACCAAGCCCCTTGGCAATGCATGCCGAGGTTCCTTGTCACCAACCCAGATTCAAGAACAAGTTGACTCAGAGAATGCATGTGAAGATGGATTGAAGACTAGGGTTCATGCATGTTCTTGACGTGTTCTTCATGAGATCTTCATCCTGATCTTTGCTCACGAGCACACCTCGACATCAAGACCTCGGCTTCAATCTCTCACACATCGAGGTGCTCACCCGATGACCCAAGAAGAGCGTTCAGTCCCCGGTTTGTTCCGGGCTGACCCGCAACACTTAGCCTTCACTATAAATAGGTTTAAGGACCAAAAACCTAAGGATCTTTTATCTTATCTTATCTCTTATCTGTTTTTAGCTTTGAGAACTTGCCTCTTTTGTGAAACTTGCTTCTTCTAATCCGATATCTCATTTTC